TGATCGATGACTGACAGATTGAAATTCCAGATGGTGAACTCGTCGGACCAGAGCCTCCAATTCCTGTTCGAATGCTACTTTTGCCGCGCTTTTCTCTCCTGGTAACTTGGCCACTTTCGAGTCGCAACCATTGGTAGATGAGGTGTGGGAAAATTCAAAGTCGAAAGGGGGAGCACCGGGGGATTCTCTGGCGAGCTCCCTGAGGATGGCAGTAGCGGCCGCGAGCGTCTCGTCCGCGCCAGCCATTATGCCTTAGGACTTCTCAGTCCGATGGGGACATATGTATAAGCGGCGAGAAGAGATTTTTTTTGTTCCGGGGGAAAATCCGATGACGGCTTAGGAGCTGTGCGACTGCATATGAGAAAGGGGGAATGAGAAAGATGAAGCAATTAAAAGGGAGTGACGGTGAATGTCAAAAGAATAAAGAAAGGGAGGGAAGAAGCCAAGGGCAGAATAATAGACAAGGCGAAGAAAGGGAAGCGGGCGGAGGGGAACGCCAGGAGGGGAAAAGTCGAAAGTCAATTTATTGGGGGGTGTGACCGGGACTCGACTCCGAAGGGTGATTAGATTAGAATATGGGCAAATGAGGTGGGAAGAAATTGAAGAGAAATGGGAAGAGGTCGAAAGATAACAGAGGATGAGGATGAATGGCGAGGGGGCAGTAGAGAAAAAAAATATAAGAGAAAAAGATGAATAAATAGAAAAATAAAAAAGAACACAAGAAAAATCGAAACTAGACAGCAAAGCGGAGTTGGGAGAGACAGCCAGCAACAGCAGTACTCAGTAGTTCAGTTGAACGGAAAGGGGAGAAGGCAGTTTTGCAACAAGTTGTGTTGAGACTGGAGAGAGGGGGGCGCAAAATAGCAGCAAAATAATGGAAAATCAATGCACTGGCCTCGGGGGGAGAATGATTGGATGAAGGCAGCACAAATGTGGAAGAGTGAGAGGAGGCAAGAGTGGGTAAGCAAGCAAATGGCAAATGTCGGCCGCAAGAGACGAATTGACGGTGACGGTGACGGTGACGGGGGCAAGAGAGAGAAAGAAGTTCTTCCCTACCTAGACAGATATCGGGAGTGGGAGTGAGTAGTTTCGTGGTACGAATGTTTTGAAAGAAGGTAAGAAGGTAGATAAAAGGTGAAGGTGAAGAAGGTTAAGGTGAAGGAAGATCTGCTCGGTGTTAAGACGACATGGGGGTTCGTGGTTTGCGTGTCTATCTCTATGTCGGTCTTCTGTCTATCCCGGTGGAGTGGAGTAGGCGCGAAGATCCAAGAAGGCTCAAAGAAGTTGTTGATCCTCGGTGGATGTGGATTAAGGATGGGTAAAATCAAAAAGGGGAGGGAAATAAGAAGAATTGAGAAACAGTCGGTAGGCAGACAGACAGACAGACAGGTGAGTGTCGGTCGGTGGGTTAAGGCAGGCAAGGCACCTAGTAGTGTCAAAGGTTGGAAACCAGAGCCGACGACAGGCTGGGTGAAAAGTAGCCGGATAAGATTCAACGGACGGACAGCCGATGAATGGATGGGTTCAAGTAGATCCAAACAAAGCGCAGCGCGCAATAGAGGTCGGGCGGGGAGGAAGAAGAAATGGGATTATTATTGGGAGAGAGAGTTAAAGGGGGAGGGGGAGGAGAAACGATGTCGGATCAGTCAGCTGTGTGTGTGTGTGTGTGTGTGTGTGTGTGTGTGTGCCGTCCAACAGGGCAAATGACAACAAATTACGGAGTACAGTTCTCAGAATAATGATGAGAAAGAGAAGAATGATAAGATACTAGGTAGAAAACTATCCAGACAAAGTACGAATGGGAAGGGCGTATCCAAGTCCCATGTGTGCAAGTCAAATGAGGCTGGATGGAAGCAACGCGCCCGGCGATGAGGCAAAGCTACAAGGCGTGATCGGATGCAATGGAGAGAGGGGGGGAGGGGTTTGGCGGTGCTGTACGGAGTACGGAGTACAGTACTTACTAAGTTATGGAGTACTTCAGCACCGAGTAAGGTAAGTAGGTACTATGTACTATTGACTACCTACACTTTCTTTTGTATCTACTGAGATGCTTAAACTAGTTAGATGAGACAATACCTTATCATCAATAGCGATCTTCACGCCTCTCATCGGTGAATAAAGAAGCAAGCAGCAATTGATTGCGAACAGACAGCACTCGTTCAACCTCAGAGACTGTATAGTATTTATGATCAAGGGATCGCTGCCGCTGGACAGTTCCTCCAGTAGTCCAGTCACCGGTTGATCTTCCCACCCGGAGGATCTGGAGAATTTTCCTTGATTTTCATCCCCCTCCTTCTCCCCGCACAGAAAATGGGAGAGCAACTGGAATGTACAGATAGACAGACCAGTAAGCATCTGGTAGACCACCTGATCTGTATATTATTCTGTACTCCGCGCCGCTCTGCATTTGACATTAAGCTTCTCAACTGCTTTTCTTTTGACAGACCGACAGATTACAGACCTTAAGTTGATAAATAATCTAACCTAATCTCCGAGGTGCCCTCCCCAAAGAACCGTACCGAGATATGACAACGACCCTTGGTTCCCGGGGCTTAGAAATGCCTTTCCCCCTTGGTTGAGCCAACAACGGAGAGTTCATAACATGACAGTAGTCACTAATGCATTTTTCAGCTCGCGTGGTGTGGGGACTGGGGACTGTCCGAACTACTCTACTTATTTTTGGGCTTTTTTTTCGTCCCTTTTCCCGTGAACTGCCACATTTAAACCAGAACAAATACGGGATAATCATGTCTCATAGGGACAGTTGTTATACCATTATAGTAAGTGGTCCCTTCAAAGGTGTCTCACACCAACCAAAAAAAGAAACGACAGGAAGGGGAAAAAATTCGCAGTCCTCTCTCCCTATGTTACCGAACTGCTCTTCTGTGTGTGTGCCCTTGGCGCGTGTCGGAAAGCGACCTTGCCGCGTGAGCATACAAGAAGAACGCACGACGGACAGGTAGATAGACAGGTAAGTACGGGGTAGTTACGGAAGAAGGAAGAGGGCAAAAAAAAAAAAAATGATGCCCATACCGTACCTTACCGCCACCAAATGACCATTACTACTGCTAAATAGTAGCTACGTACTGCAGTCGAACGCACGGGCATCCCTGCTTTTGTGAGCGTTCAGAAAGCACCAGGCAGCTAAACTGATTACCGATCATTTCATAAGAAGTTCACATCCAAGGAAGGGAGGGAGGCGTGTCTTCTTTGGCTGCAGCGTATTGGTTCTTTGGGCTGCTAACATTGAATAAATCTATGCACTGAGTCAATGACATTTACGAAGTACGGATTTTTTTTTTGGATAAAAAAAAAGGTGCATTGCACCTGGATACACATTGAAAGGGAGAGATGACCTACCCTACCACAATTGCCGTCTAGCGAAGCCTTGCAGAAAGACATCGACTCGCAGCATCGAATAAGCAAACCTCGATGCACGCGTGTTTGTGGCCAACCTCCCCCGACCTCCAGATTAGCAGGACTGGTCATATTCCCACCATCACATCCCTATCTTCCTCCTCTTCCTCCGCACCGCGTAAGATGAAGCAGAAAGGTGTCGGAGGGAGGGGGCAAAGAACAGGTATTCGTCTAGTCGACTACGTAGTGGCATTCGTATTGCCGTGGCTCCAAAGGCAGGTGAGACGTAAGAAGACGGCCCTAGCCTGTATCTACCTATCACAATCGAACAACAACAACAACAACAACAACCTGACTGGTTGGTGACCGGAGGGAAACAGAACAAAAAATTACAAGACGGGAGGAGAATGGACAATGAGGTAAAAAGAGAGAGGGTAACGGAGTCGAGGGAAATCAGGAATGATGCAGGGCAGACCGGTCTGGACAGGCAGACCACCGCAGGAACAGGACACCTCTGTCCCATGAGATGATGTTTCGGGTGCCTTAGCTACCGCACAACTTGGATGTGGGTGGTCTAGAAACTGATCTATGACCTAATGTATCCAGAATTTCCTGCTTGATTGTATCATCTCGCGACAAGAGAAAGTGGGTGTGTAGAGGCTGGATCCAACTACGGTAAACGTACAGAGTACTCCGTAGCTCTCTCATCTTTCGTTTCTGATACATATCTTCCCGCCCGTTATTGTGCACCGTCAGCCCAGGCGCACAGGTCCATGCCCGAGACATTGCCCGTTCGCCCGGGGGTTGAATCTTAACATGATTAAGTTCGGTCCTGAAATCGATAGTGATTCTAGTGATTCACAGCCCAAGATTCATCGGTCGGTGTAAATTAGGTTGCCAGCCGTGTTAGGCGATGACCCAAGTCTTTGTCTACAGGCATCAGCCACGGCTGGTGATGGGTGGAGTAACAGCTGGAGGAAGAACCATGGGAATGGGATCCTCCTAACCCTCTTCTCGAAGTCTTTTCTATGGGGGCAGCGACATGATCGTCATTGTTAAGGCATGGAGAATGAACATTGGTAGAGAACTTGTACAATAGGATGCAGATTGGGTGCTTGTTTCAGCAATACACCATCTGGACGTCCTGAGCAAGATTCATCAATACCTTCCTGGCAGATATTTACAGCAGATAGCATTCATCTATCACGATCCCTCCCCGGGGGAAGATCCAGTTCCAGACCCAAACGGTCGCGTGCAAGACCCATCGATTACCCCCGATAAGCCAATCATGAAGATCTATACTGAGAAGAGCTTTTCGCAGTCCCATCCAACTAAACCTGTCTGGGATTATCATGCGAGGATCGAGGAATGCCAGAGAATAGAGGCATCAATTGATAACTTACTATAGCTAACTATTATTTGTACTTCTGTGACTCTGCCCAAGCAGTAGATATGTAGATAGTTGGATAGACATGGAACAGGAGGGAGTAAGGAAGGGCTACATACTAAGTACCGTACCTATCGACCAGCAGTAATAGCTGCCTGCTTGGTCTCCTACCAAGGAAGCCATCACCAAAGAAGCTGAGAGGACCAAAAGTTGCAGCTGGCGCCCCCTAAATCTTGCTTTCGAGGTGGACGCTAACCCTGCCTGTCAAGAATAAATTGCTGGAGTGTCTACGGAGTACACCTGGAGAACTAATGATGGGCTAAACTGTGTTGGGCCTCGTCTACCGTTTTGCCCAGTGGAAAACCATGCTTGCGCTTCTAGTATATCCTGCCAGCTGCCAGCTGCCAGCCACCACCACCACTACCACCACTATCACCACCACGGGACAAGCAAGGAATAATCCTTCACGTCGCCCAAGATGGTGTAGGACTGTGGAAACTGCTTCTGCATCATTGGATCTCACCCCCTGCCCCCGTTCCCACTCCATCAATTTCGGGAGGTTCCCCAGGCCAAGGATCACTGCACTCGGTGGTCATAACTGCCTTGGTTCGGTCGAGAATATATATCGTCCGTCCATTCGGATCTTCCGCCCACCGCATTATACACTCCAGACCTGGCATTTTACGGTCGTACAAAGTTGACAGAGGATTTTGACGGCTTGGCCCGGGTCTGTCACGGGGTAGATAACAGAATCCTCCCTCGAAGGTTGAAAATGGTGCCGTAGTGGTCATTTACAGGGCTTCCTTCTCCAATGAACCTAATTTGGGCGGACTGTTTCGATCGTGACCCAAATGCACGGAGAGAGTCTCAACAGAAGAAGAATAACAGTACCCTTCATTCCAGATGTCCATGACCTCGCTCTTGTTTTGGGGGACTCCAGGCCCAAGCCCCTTGCAGTTGAGAGGGTATATGCGCAAATCGACCATGGATGGTTCCGATCATTCTGCTCATACCTGTCACCGATAGTCAATATACATGGTCGCACAGGCATATGCTGATCTAATACATTTGGTTTCGAGCCGGTCTCTTGATGGCCTGGGCGAGATCATGGGACTCGTTTTGCTTAGTCCGTGGGCCTCCGTGGAATTGCACAGATGGGCACATCTTGGACCATTCCTTCCTGTACTTGATCCGAGTAAAACAAAAGTGGAGCTCAATCCTCGCTTGACAAGCTCTTGTGTAATTCACTTACAACTGAAGAACAATTGAAGAACAAATCCGCAATGGCGGGGTTCAAACTGGTGGCAGGTCACGGGACGACGGGGGTGGTCGCAATCGCCCGCCGTAATTGAAGAGCGTACCCGAAAAGAGTCATAATTGTGAAGTGGGCAGTGTCTGATCGGTGCCTCCAAGACCCCTCCTCCTCTGCAAGCCCCCTCCTTCTTTTCCCACAACAACCCTCGGACTCCGCCTTCTTGGGGATTCCACGGCTTGCAATTATGGCGACCGATATGACGAAACCCATTCTGGACGCTCTGTCCGCGTCCGACGCCTCCATCCTCTCCAGCGAAGCCTTCCCCTCCACCCCCTCACTAAATATCAAGGCTGCGCTCGACCGTCTAGCCTCCCGACAGATGGTCGAGTATGACACCATCGAGAAGGAAATCATCGTCCTGACGCCGGAGGGTGAGGAGATCGCCACCAATGGCAGTCACGAGGCCAAGGTTTTCCAGGCCGTGCTGGCGGCTCTGGATGGATTGAAGATTGGCGACCTCCCCGGCGTGGTCGGCAAGGACACCGCCAAGGTCGGCCAGGGCAATGCGTTCAAGAAGGGCTGGATCAAGAAGGACAAGGACATGCTGCGGGCGGCGACCGAGACGATCGTCGACGAGACCCGCGAGCTGCTGCTGACGGTGCAGAAGACGCAGTCGGTGGCCGATGCGAAGGCCCTGACGGACCTGAAGCGGCGCAAGCTGGCGACGGTGCAGAAGGTGATCACCTTCCAGATCGCCAAGGGCCCCAAGTACGCCCGCGAGTTCGTCAAGGAGGAGACCGACCTGACGGCGGAGATGCTGATGAACGGCTCGTGGAAGACGGCGCAGCTGAAGCCGTACAACTTCAAGGCCAAGGGCGCGCCCACCCCGGCGGGCACCTTCCACCCGCTGAACAAGGTGCGCCAGGAGTTCCGCAACATCTTCTTCGAGATGGGCTTCGAGGAGATGCCGACCAACCGCTTCGTCGAGACGGGCTTCTGGAACTTCGACGCCCTCTTCGTGCCCCAGCAACACCCCGCCCGCGACCTGCAAGACACCTTCTACATTGCCGACCCCGTCAAGGCCGACCCCCCGCGCGAGGACCCGGCCAACGACCCGCACCAGATCAAGACCCTCCAGCCCACCACATCCTCCTCTTCCTCCTCGTCGACAAAACCCCTCGACTACAAGCAATACTGGGACGACGTGCGCGCGGTCCACGAGACGGGCAAGTACGGCTCGATCGGCTACCGCTACCCCTGGGACGCGGACGAGGCGCTGCGCCTGGTGCTGCGCACCCACACGACCTCGGTCTCGACCTACGTGCTGCACAAGCTGGCGGCCAACCCGCGGCCCGCGCGCTACTTCAGCATCGACCGCGTCTTCCGCAACGAGGCCGTCGACGCCACCCACCTGGCCGAGTTCCACCAGATCGAGGGTGTCATCGCCGACTACGGCCTCACGCTGGGCGGCCTCATCGGCTTCATGGAGGTCTTCTTCGCCAAGATGGGCATCCACCAGCTGCGCTTCAAGCCCGCCTACAACCCCTACACCGAGCCCAGCATGGAGATCTTCGGCTACCACAACGGCCTGGGCAAGTGGGTCGAGATCGGTAACAGCGGTATGTTCCGGCCCGAGATGCTGGAGCCCATGGGCATTCCCAAGGACATGCGCGTGTACGGTTGGGGTCTGAGTCTGGAGCGACCCACGATGATCAAGTAAGTTTCTAGCATTTCCATCCAAAACCACAAGTCGAGAACATCAAGTCTAACCTCCCATACCTTCTGCTCCACAGATACGGCGTCAGCAACATCCGTGAACTGCTGGGCCACAAGGTCGACCTCAACTTCATCGAGAGCAACCCGGCCGTCCGATTGGAGAAGGACTAGGGGAAGGAAAAAGTGCAGCCAGCAATATAGATACCGATCTCGAGGGTGATTGTCCCGGGGCAGATTTCCTAGAGAAAAAAAACGGGGGCTCCAGCATCATAACCTAAAGCTTTTTTACTCTGTTGTTGAAATGCAAAAGACGTTCGAATGTAATGGTGCTTGCTGCCTTCTTTTCTTTTCTTTTCTCCTCGTTTTGATATGATGATATAAGACCACCACAATTTCAAATCACGAGTTACGTTACGCGGACACCCACCGACTCGACAATCAGAGAATCAATGCCTTTCTCTGCAAGAGTGCTGGGGGTTGGATGGAAGGTGCTTGCATGCGTAGACTAAGTACTAAATCTAGAACTAGAGAGAAGAATGTTCCACCAGTATCTGTGCCCCAGTGCACGAACTCTGCGACAGTGGCTCTTCAGCAGGCGGAATATGTGATCTCCGGCATTTTGGAACTGTAGATCTACTCTACTAGGTCGTGGCCTTCCTCGGGCATGGGAGAGGGTTTCGAGGTTGGATATTTGGAGTCCCCCGTGGGAGGGGAACCAATCGATCCAACCCCAAAGGGCGGGAGGAAGGTTTGGATATGCCGGTTTAGGAGGGAGACTTAAGAAAAGTACATAGGGAAGAAGGGGACACTAAGAAAGGAAAAGGTCTACATGTGACTGACGCTTCCAGAAGAAGAAAAGGGACGGTGTGTTGTCGGGTATAATGGGGGGTTTTATTTGTTGAAGTTTTTCTTTCATTCAAGTCCTTTTTTTGGATATAAGATATATCATGATGTTGACCATAACATCTCATCCTGTAGCAGTCATACAATCAGTATGTGTCTTCTCTGCAGGTGAGGGAGACACCGGCGATTGAAAGATCGGAGCGGTGGTGTCTAACCCTGCGAGAGAGAGAAAAGGCTTACCATCACCAAATACCCGACATCAAAAAAAAAACATAAAAAATTGGACACCACCCATCGAGACGTCAATCCGTCCGCTTAGCGCTGACGGCTGGCGGTCCAGACGTTCTTGAGGTAGCCGTCACGCTGGGTGAGGCGGTTCAGGGAGTCATCGCTCTCACCACGGGCACGGATGAAACCGCACAGAGCGTAGGTCTGGTTCTCGCCGGTGTAGCGGCCGTTCTCGTCAACCTGGGCGATGGAGATCTGCACGGAGGCGTGGTCGTTGGCCTTGATGATGCGGTTGGTGGCGCTGCACTTGCGGGGCACGTAGCTGTAAGGCACAACAAGAGGTGGTTAGTTGTCTGCATTGGTAATGTGGTGTGCGCATATCGCCCCGCCTCAGGGACGATATGCAAAAGTGATTGCGCAGGAACTGGGGCACACGCGGCGATAGCGGAGAGTTTTCCCAGACGACAGGACCGGAGAGACTTTGATATACGACTTCGACCTGGTCCAGACAAAAGACTTTTCGAAGCGCGTATCAAATATGATATGCACCCTTCTTCCGATTTCAATTCCACGTCTTTTCTTTCGTTTCCCTCACTCATCTCCGGAATGATCTCCATTGCATGTGAAAACCACCGGACCAGGTCGAATATCGCATATCATTTCCTCCGCTCATTCCCTGTTTCCTCCTCCCCTTTCGCATGGTCTCTGCTGTCGTCTGGTTGTTCTCCGCTATCCTGCCCCAAACCCTTCCGCATCCCCTTGGGGATTTCACACAAAAAAAGAGGGGGAGAAAAGGTGTACGTACAGATCGACGATCTCTCCCTTGTCGTTCTCCATTTTGGCGAGTTGGGTGGGTGGTGAGGAACTTGAGGTTGACGAGAAAAACGGAGCGGTGCGCGGGAAATTGAGACGGTGGGCGGATGGGGTGAAATGAGTGACCCGGACAACTTTCTGCGTTTCCCGGTTGTGGGTCATGTGATTCTTTGTCGAGGGCTTGCCGCTAACGCTGGCTGCAGATTAGGTAAGGCCCGCCTTCCCGAATTGGGGCTAGTGCGGGTAGCCGTGGGGTACGAGGACTTTTAAGTATGCATTGTACTGCACTGCTCTGCTGTATCTGCGATCAACATATGGAGCCACTTTCATACCCATCTTAGCCATCGGCGTAGAATTATCTCAGATGCCACAAGCACAACAGAGCAGTCAGGCGAAGCTGCTTTACCCTTTAAGCCCTGAAAAGAAGAGCCCTATGTCTCAGGAGCGATAGCTTGTCAAGCAGCGATTCGCTCGAGGCGTCAGAAGTAGAGAAAGTGCTAGCCATGTTTAAAGGCAGTGATTCAGAACTGTCACCGGCCCATCTAGTAGGTTGTAGAGTGCCTCGTCGAATCATGTGTCGGGCTTGTTTACAGATTAATTGCTTCGCTCATAGTGAGAATCCCATCTTGACGCCATTCACTTCCCATCCTTGCCTTCATAAGTTACTCTTCGCTTCAGCTTCGAAAGCATCCTTCTTCCACCGCACCTCCAAATCACGCGCCTCCCCTGGCTTAAATTTCACAAGCACGACCAGTTCCGTCTCCCCTTGCTTATCCGTCCCCCTGAGTTCGGGACCCGGCTGATCCAACGCCAGCACCGTCCGTCCGTCAGAGGCCATCCTCAGCATCTTCGGGGAGATACACTTCTCCGACCAAGGCGGCTGACCAGTGTTCACAAACTCAGTAAGCTCCGCCCGCCGTCTGCGCAATTCCTGCAGCGAAGCTGCGACGCGGGGCTCTTTGTCCAAGAAGCCAGCCACCAGATGCAGCAGAAGGAACTGCGGTGGAAACAGTATAATGTCGCCCTTTTGCGCCATCTGTAGCCACTCCGAAGCAGGCAAGAATCGAGCCTCTGTGACCTCAACCCCTCCGTCGCTCGTCGGAACTTGGATTTCCTCACGCTGTCCCTCGGATGGGATTTCGTCGAGGACCGGGTTCTCAGCCTCCGCAGGAAGTGGAAGGAAGTATAGGTACATCTGCGTCGTATAGCGTCGGGTGTTGATAGTTGGGGTGATCCATCGAGTAAATGGGGTCAGTCCATCTGTTGGCGGGTTAGGTTAGCAAAGACAACTTCCACCGGAATTGGATTCTTGTCTCTTCGAGTGTAGTGAAGTACAAGATGAGCGTGTATCTCACCTGTATCCGGCACCGCATTGAGACTCTGCTGCCTCAACCAATCTAAAAAAGTGGTCTGGTTCTGATGGATCGCGCGTCGACCCGATTCGCGTTGTTCTTCCGGGACGGAGAGCATCTTGCCGGAGACATTATCCTTTGCGAGGAGAATGCCACTCTCCTCGAAGAGCTCTCGAATCGCTGCGTTGCGGTACCACGGACCGTCGTCGTGGCGCTTTAAATCCTCGGCGGGTGGGCATTGGCCATCTTGAGCGGAGAGGTTGCCTCCAGGGAATACATGGGCAGAGGCAAATGAGGTCGAGGTTTTGACACGATGAAGCAGGAGGATCTCGTTTCTGGGCGATACCAGGATGACGCTGCACGGGGATCAGTGGCGGGAACAAGACTTGATTAACAATATGAACAAGCGGATGGAAGGAGTAAACTCCATGTCTGCGAATTCTGTGCTTACCTAGAACTGGGCCGCGGAACCGCAGGGCTGGGTTTCTGTTTAGATGTTGCAGACGACATAGTTTGGGTAGCAGCAGCCTGCTGGGATCTTGGGACATTGGAGCTTGCTCTCCATGTGGTTTGCGGTGTGTAGTCATTGGAGCATGTGAGAGGCCGGGGGGTATACTTTCCAGAAGCTGGAAGCCGGGGACCTCGGGCGAGTGCGACGCGGTGAGGGGAAGTCGAATTTATTAACCGGGGAGTACAGCTGGAGATAACCAGCGGGATTGGGTTCATGGCTGCTGTGTGCAGACACGTTCCAGGGGCTTTTCAGCGGAAGTGGAGGTGATGGTTGGGCCGAGCGAATCCTTGATCTACAGGCAGGGAGGGAAAATGCCCTGGCAGCAGCAGCAGCAGCAGCCACGAACGGTCCGCTTGAAAGCGGTCTACCCCGCGTTCGGGCTTATCGCAGGGGCCGAGGCTATAGATTGAAGCACTTGTAGGGCTGTCGATAGAACTACGGACGGACTTGTTGTCTTCTAGATGATTCATGGCTACAATGAATAGAGAAAAGCTGCAGTCTAATGGTGAGAACCATTTCTTGAAATGTATTGAATTATCATAAAGCAAAGTATGAACTATTCCTCGTCAAACTCCAGTCCCTCGTGCCCAGGCTTTTTATTTTTCATAGCAACCACGTAGCATCATATAACCAATCATATAAACAGGGTAAACGGTTCTTAGATGCAAGAGAATCAGAAGGCATAAAAAGGTATATAAGACAAAAACAAAACACTTAAGCTATCACCGCTTAAGAGTAGAGCTTCTTGTCGTAGCTGTGCAGACCGTGGACGTTACCCTCAGCCATAGCGCTAGCACTTCTCATCTCGAAGCGAACCTTGCCCTGGTTGACACCATCGTGGAGATCCTTTAGGCTCTTGACGCCAATGTCCTGCAGAGAGTGCTGGACACCAGCGGTGAGGTAAGGAACGAACTTGGTGACCGATCCACGGTCGAGGACGGAACCAGCGACACCCTGGGCGACGAGGACAGAGTCCTTCTCGGAGAAGTAGCGGGCAGTACCAGCGTTGCTGGCCTTGCTGTCCTTGGCGCCAGCACCAGCCTTCTTGTCCTCCATGGCGGCGATACTGCCCATACCACGGTAGGCCTTGACAAGCTGACCCTCCTTGCTGACGAAGTACTCACCAGGAGACTCGGTGGTACCGGCCAAGAGACCGCCCATCATGACAGTGGAGGCACCCATAGCCAGGCCCTTGACGATGTGACCAACGTTCTGGACACCACCGTCGGCGATACAGGGAACACCGAAGCGAGCGGCGAAGTTGGAGACGCTGCGGACGGAGGCAGCCTGAGGACGACCAACAGCCATGACCTCCTGGGTGATGCAAGCACTGCCGCTGCCCATGCCAATTCTCAGGCCATCGACACCGGCGGCGATGAGGGCAGCAGCCTGCTCACGGGTAACGACGTTACCGCCAATAACATCAATCTCAGGGATGTTCTGCTTGATCCACTTGATCATCTCAATCTGGTACATGCTGTTACCCTGGCTGCTGTCCAGGACGACAATGTCGAGACCAGCCTCGACGAGTAGCTTGAGTCTGGTCTTGTCCTCCTCACGAGTACCAATAGCGGCAGCAGCAATCAGCTGCTTGGACTGAGGAAGCTTGGAGGCAAGGGGGTAGTGGAGGTTCTTCATCAAGTCACTGCGAGACAAGAGAGAGACGAGGTTGCCGTTGGTATCGACAATGGGGAGCTTGCCCTTCTTGGAGGAGCGAAGGACTTCGTTGGCCTCGGCAAGAGTGGTACCAGCAGGGGCGGTGACCAGGTCGGTGGACATGATGGCAGTGACGGGGGCATCCAGATCGCGGTGGAACTGGATGTCACGAGAAGTGACCATGCCGACGAGCTTGGAGCGGAGGGTTCCGTTCTCTGTATCAGACAATCATCATGTTAGAATCAATGACTTAGACAAAAGGTGATAATGACAGTGACAATTGAAACTGAGGTCAGATAAAACTGGTCTCTACAGTGCTGCTCTCGCTGCTCCAGTGGAACGAAAGTTATAAAGAAAAAGTGATTGATCATCATGTTGGAAAGGATACGCAGGGATTTCAAGTAGCGACTTACCAGTGACGGGGAAACCACCAAAGCCCCACTTGGCCTTGAGCTCCTTGGCCTCCTGGACAGTAGCGGTAGGGGAGAGGACAACGGGGTCCAAGATGAAACCGTTCTCGTATCTCTTGACCTTGCGGACCATCTCGGCCTGGTCTTGAGGAGAGCAGTTGTGGTGGATAATACCCAAACCACCGAGGAGAGCCATGTGGATAGCCATGTTGTGCTCCGTGACGGTGTCCATGGGGGAGGAGAGAAGGGGGACCTTCAAAGAGACACGCTTGGTAACAGCGGTGTCGAGAGTGACATCTGAAGCAGGAAAGCCTATTCTGAGGCATCAGCAACCCAGTTCGACGAGATGAGCTCAAATTCTCGCCTTACCGATGTACCCGGGCAAAATCAGGAAGTCGTTGTAGGTCAAAGCACCGTGCTTGTCAGAGTCAAGCAGGGTATCAACATCCAGACCATCACTGGTGGTGTACTCCTTCTGCAGAACCTCCAGGGCCTTAGTGTAGTCCTGGATCTCAGCCTTCATGGCCGGTCCAGGAATGTCACCGTTGGCAAAAGTCATGATGAATGTGAAAAAAAGACTCTACAGCTTTAACAAATCTTGTAGAGAGAATGTGATCAAAGATCAAAGATAATAATCAACAGATCGACGATCGAAACGTTCTGTTGATGGAGAAAGTCTTCCTTTCCCAAAGAAAAGAAAGAAAAGAAAAAGAGAGAAAAATCCGAGGAGAAAAAAATTGGCTTTTGAGCTCTTCGCCGCACACGCCATGCCATGCCGCAATCGGTCTAGCGCCACCGCTCTGAATAGATTTGTCATCGTGATTGGATGCTAAACGAAGTCTTCGGTGGGCGGTGAGTCAGACTCTCAAGTCACTCGGCAGCGGTTCTCGCCCGCTTAGAGATTTCTTAGTGAGAAGCATCATATTTTTTTCCAAGTTCGGAAGATTCCATTCGGTTCATGTCTAGTACTCACCAGGTGACTAGGCAGTCCTATGGTACTACCCCATCCCCATTCAGCCATTGCTACTGTACCACTGTATCCCCAATGGACCTTGTATTTGCTTGTGACAATAGCTGAAACCAGCAGACAGACCTCCGCCAAAGATAAACGGTTTGAGTGATACAGTACCAACGTAGTACTTACTTGTAACTAATCGGCCGTCAGTTCCCGATAAGAATTAGCCGCCAGCATCCGCCCGCGCTACCTATGCATGGCATAGGCTTAACGGCTCCCGGCCTAATGAACAGTCGGCATTGTCCCGTCCTCAGTATTGATAGTCTGACCCTCCTCAAGAGATACTCTTGAGATTGTCGCCCGGCGAGTGTTAATCAGGATGCATTTCAGTAATGAAGATGGCACCAATTGGGAGACTACATCTAAAAAGCTTTCTATCCAGTTGATCTGTACTGGAGCTAGCCCCATCATATGTGTTTAACTACCGCACTGCAAGCATACGTTCGTATAGTATAGCGAACCGAATCTAATGAAACCCGCTCTCGGGTCTCCGTAGCCACCTGCCTGACATTGTCCCGCAAATCCCATTGGTAGTCGCTTCCTACATCGCGAATAGTGCATACTGGCAGGACGCTGATATAAATCAGTTTCAAGCATGGGTGAATACGGTGGAATATCATTGCAGTTAAACTCCGTCGCTTACCAGCGCTGCGATTTATTCTATGTCTTGCCTTTCTATGTCTGAACATGGCAAACCCAACAGCCAAACCATTCATGGTAACTTGATTGAATTTGGTGCCTGGGCGCGTCCATCGAAGTGGATTATATATCCGTGCCCGCTGTGCCCGGGTTTTTGCAACAAGGAACACGTATATTGAGCAGGGCAAGTTGAGCCAAACCTCTCAAACTCACACGTGCACCTCTGTGGTAGATTCCTGCGTGGTCGTAGATCAGACCTTGCACGAGGATACCAGTTTCCTTTCTTTTTCCTTTGATCTCAGCTGAAACAGTAATCTTGGATATGACTTGTTGGAAACCTTGAAACCGGAATAATGATGTGGCTGGAGCAATGATGATCGACGTCACTCCGATCGTAATCGGGGCGCGGTCACATGTCCGTGCCCACCATACCTGATCGGGAGATTTGTTTTCAACTCGGCTGAGGCTGGGGGGGGGGGGTCCGTTCCTGCCTCCGATTTAGTAGACTATTGCCCGTCCCTTCCCTTCCCTACCTTCCCCCGCTTGCTTGCCGATTAATCAATCTTCCCTCCCTGTTGTTTCCTACGTTTCTCACTGCCGCTTCAGCCTCTTCTTTCAGTTTAGCATTCCTGCTGGTAAGGGAGTTCGTTCCATTTCACAGCGGCGCAATTTATCTGGCTGCTTTTTACAATCGACAGCCCTTTTTTGTGATTCAGTCTGCAGTAAATCGGTGGTTCCCAGCCCAATCAGACTTCCGTTTCTGCATCAACCAATTCCCGCCCAATTCCCCCGGTTACCATAGGACCATGCCGCTTTGCCCTGCCAGCTGAAGAAGTCCTTGAATGAACATTCCGCCTTCGCCAAATTGACACACATATTCCTATACATCTACCTTCAAAACCGTTTCACTGCTTCGCTTGGAGAAGCAGGTATGCGGCCAATTGAGATCGAGTATCTTATATTTCCATTGGTTCTAGCAATCTCGTCCACGGAACGGCACCCGTTATGTCAAGCCACCTAGCCAGTCTCCGACGTACGCAGACGGATTTTGCAGACGAAACAACGAGTCCACTCCGCCATGGATCAACAGCATCCACAAGCTCGTCTATCTACACTGCCTCCACCAATTCCCTCGCCCCCAGTCGCACCAGTACTGTCTCATCGACTGCATCAATCGGATCGATGCCCAGTATCAGCCATAGACGGGGGAAGAGTGAACTGAATAAGATCCCGTCCGACAAAATGGCCGGAGGGCGTTCCGAAGTGGGAACTTTGTCCAACGCGGGCGCAACATACGAGAACATCCGCCGTTCTTTGCGACCACTCTCTCAAGCACCTAATGCATCGCCCCCCTCGAATAAACAGTCCATATACCGCCATTCTCGCAGTCAGACTGTCGACCATCCGCAGTACTGGAAGGAAAACCGTCCCCAAACACCTACCTCTCGTAACACATTTCATCATGACATCGAAGAATTGAAAGATACGGACTCGCACGCCTCAACAACACCTACCAAAAGCGAAGCGCCTCTTGACATGCAACCGCACACTGTTTCACCTC